TACCAATATTAGGGTTTGGTTGTATTAGTTGTAGTGTCCTGGTTAGAGTAGTTTAGTTAGTTTGTATTAGTGTTGAAGTGTATTCTTGTATTGAAGGGCGGGGTTTGCATTTCACAACGCACGAAAATTCGTCTTTTCTATAATTCACATTCTATTTGTAGGATTTTTGCGTAATATTGTTTTAACAATATTGAATATTGACAATAGACAACAACATTGTGATTTATTTGTGAATCAGAACAAACTTCGAGTAGAATACACAGGTTCTACAATACATACAAATCAGCTGATTCCTTCACAACATGAATTTTATTTTGAAACTACTATTATTGATCAGGGAGAAAATGGAATCATTGAAATTTGATTTGTACAAAAGATGCTAATTTTAAATCTGATGGAAAATGACTCTTGGGTTATCATGGTGACGATGGAAATTTTAACTACTCTGAAATAGTTGAGCCGTATGGACCAACTTTACTACCGGTGACACCATTGGATGCTATTTAAGTTTAATGATGATAAGGTTGATTAAGTACTCTACACTAAAAATGGCGTGTGTGTATTCAGGAATTGCATTTCAGAATTTAAACTTTTTAGAGGATCTACATCCTTGTGTTGGACTGAGGTCACATAATGGGTCTGTAGAATTAAATTTTGGAAATAAAAATTATAATTGTAAAGTAGACGAAGCAATCATTAAACTTACAGAAAACGCGAAAAGATTCAGAAGGCATTGGTGGCTGCAGACAAAGAAGAATGGGCTAAGTTTGGACAAAACAGGAAATATCTTCCAAGAAGAAATCAACAAAGATAACTTAGGCATCGGCAGCTACAAGAGAGACAAAGTCAAAACCGTATGGAAATCTTTAATTGAAAACGAAGAAGCCTTAACCATCCTCAAAAAATTTCAATGAATTAACATGCATAAGCACCAACACAATTTCTTAATCATTTTAGAATATTTATATGAGTTAACATGTATAAGCACCAACACAGTTTCTTAATCATTTTAGAATATTTATAAAGCTCATTAAACGAAGAATTATTACGGAGTTCTTAATGGATGAAGCAGACAAAGCAGCAAAAAACCAGTGTTTCGATCCTAAATCCGACTATCTGAATTGATCCTTAGATCTAGATAAACTCAGATATTCAGATTAAAGATTTTTATTCAGATTGGTCAAAGAACTTAAATAATGAACCTATGAGTACCAAAAGCTGGTTTTATATATAATGCGGATTCGATCTAGACTTAATAAAATCCGGATGGCCTGTCAAAAATAAGATCGAAACACTACAAAAAACGTAATTATGGATTCCATTTAATAAATTAAAAGATGTAAATCGAATTGGAAAAGGTGGATTTAGTTTAGTATTTTCAGCAACCTGTATTTTAAACTAAAAGAGCTTTTTT